TATGTCCGCGATTTTACTCATTTTTCTCGAAAAGTGTTCTAACGATTTTGGTTAGATTCATTATATCAGTGTAAAATTAAGCTGTTTTTAATATAATGTACGTCTTATTCTTATTGATGTTTTCTAACTGCGTTTAAATGAGTAATTTCTCCTCTAAAGCACCTTTATTTTTTTGTGTGAAATAATTAATAATTTCACATTAACAACTGATATTGAAAATGGTTAAATATAATGAATAACAAAAATTGATTTTAACTAAAGGAGAAGTAAGGGTCGGAAGCTATATAGTCCGTGGTGCATTACCTCTTTTTATCACATTATTAACACCCAGCTGAAACTTCGCAATAAATTTTAACTCGCCCAGACCAGATTCGAACCGGCGTCATTTGACTCGAGAAAATTTACACTTTAACAAGCTCTGTCATAATTTCGTTTCCATTAGCACAGTTTATGAGATATCGCTGCTTGTTTTAGCTGGATTTCATGAGAAAATGATATATGATATACGGTTGACGGGTGTCTAGTTAAAATTTGAGAATCTTTTTTTTGAGATGGATTTTGTATTATGGGGGAGGAAGGGATCCAAATTCATGGATATATTTTTTTTTTTTACACCACATCTGTAGACAAATTATTGAAGAATTCATAACTTTGGTTCTACTCAATATTTTTTTTTTTACTCAAAGCCTGTTTTAAGTCAAACAAACCTAAATATGATGTAAAAATTTCAAAAGTCTACCATTAGCCATTGCTGATTTCATCGCTGGCAAAATAGCATTGGACATTGTGTCATCTACATCATTGTAAAATTAGAACTTGATCTGAATATTGTGGCGGGCGGGATGAAATTTTTCGGAGTTTTTTTTTCCGATTTCCGGCTAATCAGTTTGGTTAATCCTAAAAATATAAACGACAGCATTCAACGGGAAGTTGAAAATGAGTGTGTTTTACTCTTGTTTTAAGTGCCAACGCGTTACAGATGTTCAGGATTTCTGATTTTTCCCGGTGAGTTGTGAGAATTTTTTCTATCTGTTGTATAATAAAACTTTTAAATGTAGCTTGCGGTAGAGTAGGTTGGGATGAGAATCGAAGTAACGGCCTAACCGGGATCTCTAGACAAATTACCCAAGAATTCATAACTATTTTCTACTCCATATTTTGTTTTCATTTAAAGCCTATGTTTTAAGTCAAGCAAAACTAAATATAATTTCAAAAGTTCAAAAGTCTACCATTAGCCATTGCTGAGCTTACGCCTGACAAAATTTCTTAGGACAATTCGGACAGAGCCACAATTAAAATTTTTTTTAAAAGTGGATTTTGTGTTTGTAATATATAAACGGAAAGATATAATGAAACGAGTTGGTTCTATTCAATGTACAGAAAAAACTTTATTTTATTTATATAGATATTCTGATATATGATCTGATATCTGATGGACGAAGCATTTTTCCGTTTTTATATAAAGCTTTTAAGGTTATAATTGATAAAAACCTGTCGTCCACCATTTTTAAATAAAACGGGTAAGGACGAAAAAACTGTATATCTTATCAGAGTTTTATAAGAAAAAAACTGCTAAACCAGGAGTCCCCAAATTTCTTCTACCCGCGGAAAAATTTATAGTAATCTGTCAGAAGGGGAAGGGGTCACTTTTTTACTTGGTTCTATCATTGTTGTTAAATTGGATACTAGCTTTTACCTGCAGGTTCCCTAGAAAATATTTCTCTTCCACCATTACAAAAAGTATTTTTTATCTGACTAAGGCATTAAGTTTATTATAAAGATAACTATAATTCAATTGAAAACTCGAGCTAACCAGTTTAAGTACATAGTCAATATTTAAGTAAATACTCAACTAAATCATCAAAAGTACATTCTTTAATAACGTTTACTTTAAGGTTAGAAACACGTGTTGTTTTATACTTTCAAGATTAGACTACGGACGTGGGGGCACGGATTTTAATGAAACCTTTTTAGTGATAAGGGAACCCTACACGGTCATTCGGAATTGCATTCTGAGGCATTAATGACGATCCGCATGATCATGTAAGGTACTGAATGAAGTGCTGATGGAGGTGTGGGGACTGATGGAAGACTGAGATAAAAGTAGTGGGGAGACTAACCATACTACTAGATAGGTTAGTTTATCTAGGACTCATTTTTAAGTAAATAATTTCATAAAAGTAAATAGTTTTTTATATTGCTAGTTTATATTTTTATAAACCATTTTCAACTATTTTTTTCTTTAAATAGTGAAGTAGACATTAAAAAAAAAAAAAAAAAGTGGAAACTTCATAATTTACTTATAGAAAAACAGTCTTTAACTGTTATCTGTGTTTATTTGTCATTATTTTTTATAAAACGAATAATTTCATAAAAGTAAATAGTTTTTTTTTATCTCTAGTTTATATTTTATAAACCATTTTCAACTATTTTTTCTTTAAATAGTGAAGTAGGCATAAAATTTAAAAAAATAAATAAAAGTGTAAACTTCACAATTTACTTATAGAAAAGACAGCTTTAACTGTTGTGTTTATTTGTCATTCATTTTTTCATTTTTCTTAACAAATGAATTATTTTCACAATATTTTTCCTAACATTTTGTAAGTAGTTGACTTATATTTTTCGAACTTTGGTCTGAACGATTTTCAGGCACTAGGAAGTAATTATTATATCCATATTTTTCTCTTAATGCCCAATATTATAAATGACAATGTCCTAATAAGCTCATCTGTACTGTTTCTTTGTTTACAACTGAGCTAAGATGGCGTTAGCAATGATAAGTAATCATTGAACGTGTAGGGCTCTTCATGATCAAAGCGATTCCGAGCAATCTTTGTCATTCTTGTGACTTTCATTCACGAATGATGGTGTAAGGGTCGCTTTACAAGGTCAAAAAATATTAGACCCATATCCGAGGGTTTTTGCTCAATGAGTCATATGAGCCGAAAAATAATTAAACATTTTTTAAATTGTTTTCTTCCTTTGTTCTGTATATTAAATATTGAGGAAATTTGCAATGGCCGAAGGAGTACAGTGGGTTTAAATATTTCTTTAAGGGAAAGAAAAAAAAAAAAAAAAACTCAATGAAACATAGTTTTAATGATGAATGGGTATTTAGGACATTGTTAAAGGGAAAAAATAATGAAGCCAAATGTCTCGGGAATGGGAATAATGAAAGACATTTTTCTAAAATAAATTACAAAATATATTTATCTCTAAGGTTCTATTCATCGCAAACTTATTTTTTTAAACATTTCGTTCTCTAAAAATAATAAAATAATAATTATTCTGTATGATAAAAAATAACGCAACAGATTTATTAAAATTAGACTGTTCATAAACAATAATTTTTCTTTAAAAAATTTAAATGACATACAAAAAGAATTAATAAAAAATCCTTACTTTGAAATAATTTTCTGATAATAATTATGGCATAAAGTTTTTAGTCAATGGTATAGACCCCGCTTTATCAAATTATTAACATCCCGGTGGAACTTTGTAAATAGCTTCATCTCTTCGTAACCTACAAATATTATATTTACGAAAATTCTCGGAATTGGAAAGTTTTCAATGTGGAGGGCTGCAAACTTTGTCTATTTGATTGGGCATTAAAACTCGTTAATAACCATTTGCTTTTAGTGTCACCCAAAATCGGTCTTGGTCTTGCACTTAGCAAGACCAAGACCGAGGCCGCCTAACTGTTGCAAGACCAAGACCAGGATTAGTAAAAAAAAAATCAAATTAAAAAAAAAATTGATGCAACATAATTACTAAATCGATTTTTTAAATATAAATTAAGGCAAAATAGTTTCTAATACTTGACAATCTTGGTTATTGTATGCTAAGAATTGGTATAACCAATATACTTTTTGCATTTAACTCATCTAATTTTTCATTCGGGCTTAGTTAGGTTTCTCCTCTCTAAAAAAATACAGTAATATCTCTATAATAATAAGCTAACAGGTAACTGCAAGACCTTTGCGAGAGTCTTGCGCAAGACCAAGACCATGACCAAGACTGATTTTGCAAGACCAAGACTTGTCTCGGTCTTGCATTTGGGCAACACTATTTGCTTTCCATTTGGATCGCAAGAAAATTTGATCACAAAATCGATAAAATTGGTGGCCTACAAAAATATTGGGCCCTTTGGCCTATATAACCTGGTATATAACCTAACATCTCGATATATTTGTAAATGAGTATTTTTGAGTTTTAAGTAGCTAATTAAATAGACAAAGTTTGCCAACCTCCAGATTGACAACGCCCCAATTACGAGAATTTTTATAAATAAAATATTTGTAGATTACGATGAGATGAAGCTATTTACGAAGTTTTAGGCATATGTTAGTAATTTAATAGATGGGGGTCTGTACCGCGGAGTATATTATCATACAACCATTTTATTACAACTACTATTTGCAACTGTTTCAATAAAAGTTAATCTCTACTTACGTAATGCAAAAATTTTTAGCTTGAATTTAATAATTATGTTATGTAGTATTATGCCATTGTTTTCAGAGAAGTTGTTCTTTATTATGGAATAAGCTGTCAGTTTCAATCCAAATTCAAATGACAAATTGTCTAATACATTTAATAAAATAATAGTTAATAATAGTTTATGATATATTATGAAATGGAATAGTTGGATTTATTAGATTGGTTTGTGGTTATAATAAATGTTAGTAAACTCATGGCAGCCGTAAAATTGACCATTGTTAAAATTTCAGTAATTAATGTTTGTTTTTCTAAAAATCTGTTATTTTCTAAACTAAACTCACGTTATAAAAATCTTCATTTTCTTTTATTGATCAGACAATTTTTTTAAGGTTTTGGGTTTGAAGAACAACTGACAACATGTTTTTTTTATTTTATTTAATTTATATATACATAAGTATTTATTGGTTTTATAAAATGCAAAACTAATCAAAATAAAAATTAGAGAAACATAGTAGTGGTTCAAGTTGAGATTAGATGTCAGAAGTTTAGACCTCATCTAGCTCTTACTCCAAGGAAATAAGGACGACGAAATAAGTAGTTACTGCAGCTAATATCTGAAAATAAAAAAAGACGACAATGTCAGAAATGAAATACAAATTTAAATATATATATATATATATATATACCTAGTTCTACCATAATTACTGTTACAAAAGTTGGACTTTGTTTACATCCTTGGGTATTGTTTAGATAATCCTAACCTCTTTCAGGTTATTTTCTTTACATGTCAGGATAATAATCTCAATTATTATGTATTTTTCTTTCGCTCAGTTAACATGGAGTGGCTTGATAAAGAAAATAGCTGTGATCGTCTTACACAAATTTGGAAAATGTAGATCAGAGATTTTCAATACTTTGAAATCTTTGGGTATCAGCTGTATGTCCGTGTACCGCATTATAAATGGATACAATGAGACCTTGTCTGTATGTGACAGACCATGACCTGATCGTCCCCGCACTGCAAGAACGGCAAATGCAGTGATTGCTCGAATCAGAAGAAATCCCATTCGAAAACAACAAATGTCTCATAAACAAAGGACTACGAACCATACCTCACACCATAAATACAAGCTCTGCTCTTCGCTCTGGTCATTCCCTTATACCAAAGCTCATCAATGTAAAAATGGATTGGCATGCTTATAGGTCATTTCTGGACTCATAAATGTCAATGCCTGGCTCAATTAAAACTAAAGAAGAACTAAAGGAGGAAGTGGACAAATTTATCAAAACTGTTCAAAAAGCTACTTGGGGATCATATCTTCCTATGTCATCAAGACTTGAGCGTTTGCCTAGATATCCTCAGTATATTAGGGACTTGATCACGGCAAAGAGAAGAGCCCGTAAGATATGGCAGACTAACAGACTTCCCTCAGATAAACGAACATTTAACAGACTGAATAATGAACTTTGTTACTTTCTCATTATTCTTTTTTGTTGCGTATCGACTTATTGAAGCCATAATGTTAAAATTACAAAATAAAAAAAAAAAAAAAAAAAAAGACTCTTCTACTTACAGAATGGAGCAATTTGTAGTCGAAGTTAAAAAATCCACATGCTGAGAAAGATACTTCCCTCCTCACTGCAATGTGTGTCGTCAATCTTTTCTGCAACATATCGTTCAATATAAAAAAAATAGTATTAATTTATTGTACTATAGTAATTATATTAATATAACATACTATAAAAGCCCTAGGATGTCATAATATAATGTATATTTAATGCGTTCGCTTTTGGTTTAAGATACAAAATAAATGAGTCTACTTGGAAAAAAAAAATTAAAATCAATGTATACTCCTGTAAACCAAATTAAAAGCACCTTACTAGGACTCGAAATAAACACGGATTAGAAAAAATATGTGGTTAGCTGCAAAAATGGCGATATTGCTGGTGATATCGATATAGATGGTAGTATGTTTGAACAGGTAGAGAAGTTTAGGTATCTAGGGTCTACGATAACTAGAAAAAATGAAATTGAAGAGAATATTAAGGTCTCCAGACGGGAAATGTTTGTTATTTGTGCGTGAAAAACTACTTAGTTCGCTCCTCTTGTCCCGGGACATAAAAATTAGAATCTATGAAACCATTATGTTACCTACAGTTCTTTATGGATACGAAACTTGGCCGCTTACATTAAGGGATGAGCAACGTCTTAAGATTTTTGAAAATAAAGTATTGCGTATAATATTGGGACCGAAGAAGGATGGGTTAACCGAAGAGCTCAGACGGTTACACAATGCCGAATAGCGTGAACTGTATCCGGACAATATAATAGAGGTGATTTCATTTTGGCGAATCGAAGAGGCTTGTGAAATTGTTGGACTTAGTAACGAAAGAATTCCTAAAAAGTTAATATTTGCTCTACTGAATGGTGAACGTCCGAGGGGTAGACCAAAGCGAAGATGGAAAGATAGTATTAAACGGTGAAGAAAGGTGTGTAATAAGTGATTTGGTAGTGTCGGCGTCGAGCCTTCGGGTTCGCTAAGAATTTTATAATTATTTAAAAAATAAGTATTTTTATTAAAATATTATAACTAACTCATATAGCTTTTAATTTCACTTACATTTTCCACTAACGTTTTAGTTTTATCTTGTATCATCAGCCTGTATAGTAATAAGTTAAACCTCTCCATCTAAAACATAATTATAAACTTATATTTAAATTATATATATATATATATATATATATATATATATATATATATATATATATATATATATATATATTTAAACTTAACTATTTAATTGGGAATAAGGTCATTTTTTTTTTTTTTTTTTAGAATGCTATCTATTTTATATTTGATAAATTTCAGAGTCGAACAAATTTCTTTTATTTCTAGGTTTAAAATTGAATTCTGTGTTCTCAATATAATATTCTCTAGCGGTTTTGTGAAGTTTGAATTGTCAGGAATAAGCTTATAAATGTTCTTGGTGCTATCTACAATGTGTGGTGGAAAGATATTGTATTTTCTACATTTTAGAAGAAATACCCTCTGCGGTTCCAAATTTGATAGCTTTTTTATTAATTTCGAATACTCTTTTGCTGTTTTGCTAATATCATTCCCGTTTTTATATTTTATCTCCTAAATAAGTGACCTTATTCCCAATTAAATAGTTAAGTTTAAATTTAATACTCAAAGGTCGATTAAGGAAAAGTTGTAAATATATATATATATGTATATATATATATATATATATATATATATATATATATATACATATATATATATATATATATATATATATATATACGTATGTATAATGAGATATACTTCAAAAATATTGAGCCGCTTGGCCTATATAACCTATTTATTTTGACAATTTGGGGGTTTAGGTCACTCTAAACGGCTCAATATTTTTGAAAGCCACCTTTTTTCTCGACATTGTGCTCAAGTTATCTTATGATTTAAGCGGAAAACAAATGGGAATTTACGTGTTTTTAGTACGTAATTAAATTGACAAAGTTTGGCGACCTCCAGATTGAAAACGCCCTAATTCCAAGAATTTTCGTAAATAAAATATTTGTAGGTTACGATGAGATGAAGCTATTTGCGAAGTTTCAAATGGGTGTTAATAATTTGATAAAAAGGTGTACCACGGACTATTTTGCGATACCTGCCAGTCCCCGTTAACCATAAAGCATATAATAGAGGATTGTGCATTGGTGTATCAAGCCTTTGTAAAAAACAAAATACCCCCGTTGTAGAGAACTAGGATTAAAAAAATTCAGTAAATTCAATAGAAAATATTATAAAGCTTTTAAAACAAACACAATTGTGCCAGAGAATATAATAATCAATGCAATACATGAAAAAAACTGTTTTTTTTTTTTAAATTCAGAAAGATAAGTTACAAATAATCATAGCTCAAGGGTGTAATAACCAAACTGTTCATCGCCTAGGACAGTTGTCTTAAAACTTATTAGCCAAGGAACCAAATATGATAATAATTGCAATAATTTAAAAAAAAATTGGGAGACAAATCTGCTTGTTTAGTAAACTTTTATTACACTAAATAATTTATACGTAATAAATATTTATTAATGAGAACGATGTGCTTGCATCTCCTTGGAAAGTTTGTGTAAGTCAGTTATGTATGTTGTTGTTTTTAATTTTAGTCATGATTCCAAGTTCTCATCAATAAGACGACTACTCAGTTTACTCTTGATAATGTTCATGCTTGAAAAAGATTGTTCGTATATATATGTAGAACCGAAAAGGGAAAGAAACGCGATCTTTTTCAGCTCAACGTAAGAGTCAGGAATACTATTCCAATCGTTGAAAATGATCATGTCTTCCTTCTCCAGGTCATTCGAAAGCAGACCACTTGTGTTGTGAACCTTACGTATATATGTAATATATAGTAAGGGTAAGTATTGCGATCGTGAAAATTTTCGAATCTCAGTTTTCAACGGAAATACATGTTTTGAGGTCCCTGAGTCCAAATAACCAAGTGTCGCAAAATGGTCTGTGTGTGTGTGTTAACAGTCTAGCTCATAAACGAAAAGTAGTACGAAACTGATATTAAGTATTTAAGGTTTGTATATGGGCCGGATGTGACAGCAACTTTTTCGTTAAAATCGGCTAACCGGAAGTGCCACTTTATATGAACGCTGAAACACATTTTTACAATTTTCTCAAAAACGGCTCTAACGATTTTGATTAAACTCGGTGTATCATTGTATAATTAAGTGGTCTTTAATATCATTTAGGTCTTGGCCCGTTGATGTCACCTTACAGGGTTTAGATGCCCAATGTTCATATATGTCTTCCTCTAAAGTACCTTTAGCATGGTTTTTATTAAAAAGTTAATCATTTCGCATTATTCAGAGTTACGAAAAAATGCTACATATAACTTTTAAAGGATTTGATAAGTTAATAAAGGAGAAAAATAAATAAAAAGGTAGAAATACCTGAGTTGCTATAGATTGTTGCGCATAAACGAGTGTACCGATTTCAAAGGAACTTCGCTAAAGTAATGGTTTTTTGAAATTTTATGGAATTTCCTAAAAAAACAAAAACAAATCGTTAAAATCCGAAAATCAGGAGGAAAGATATGGTCTCTAGTTTTTTCCCTGAAGAGGCGAAAATTTGGATAAATTTAAAATATACTTTTTTAATTGTTAAGACTAAAAAAAACTCTTTTTTTACAGATATTTAATAAAATATCTTTCCTAAGAACATCTTTCATAAGAAATAAGTACCTAAATTTATACCTTTATTCTCAGTTCTATATTTCAACACTGCAATCACCACCTCCGGAATCAACTTACTCACTGTCTGCATAGATAACTTTTTCAACTAAAAATATCACTAAAATGACATCACTCAAAAATGTTGAAATTGGAGTTAGTCATTCTGTGGTTTATAAAAGCAAAGAAAGTTGTGTGGTTTATAAAAGCAGATGGAGTGACTAGATTTTTATTGCCTACCGTCGATATATTAAATAGACATTTTGTAATTATAATGGTCTTAATGACTTGTTATCTGTAAGCTTTAAGCTTTAGCTCCGTTTAAAATGCACTTCAAAAAATTTTATAATAGCCCAGCATTGCCAGAAAATAATTTCTATTCAAAGTAGAGCGGTAAGTGAAAGTTGTGTGTTGCGCGCACCAGTTTTGCTTCTATTTATGTTATATTTTTTGTACATATAGTGTGAAGGTCATCCTACCTCACTATAACCAATGTCCAAGAGACAGATTGTTGTAATAAAAAAAAAAAAAAAAGACAATTATCAAAATAAGATGTAATTACTTTCTTACCAAGTTTTTTTTTTTTTAAATGAAAATATTATTGCTACTTCTGTGGATATTTGTGCCTGAGCCGCACTTAAGGAGCCACATGCGGCTCTGAAGCCGCACTTTGCCGAAAACTGGCCTAGGACAACTCGTGACCTAACTTGAATGATTTGAGCCATTAAACTTACAAATTGATCCAGCCACTTGGTCAAAACAATATTGCAAAGCTCTCTGATATTAGGTAAAGTATATTTTATTTAATAGCGGGTCAGTGTTTTTAACTCATATTGTTTCAAAATATTCAGAGAATCTCGCCGAATAATTTGAACTATAAAACTTATAAAATGATCCGAGTGAAAAAAGCGTTACATATCTTTTAGCGGACGACTCAAGCACATAACCCTCGTTTCGCATTGCATTAGTATTGAAATGATGTATCCATTATCTTTTCAACTTACCTCTTCAGATATTTCGGTGGAATGGGACGATACCATCCAAATTATATGAACTGTGAAAAAAAACTGTATTATTTGACCCATTGGCCTTGGATCTCTATTGAAGGGAACAAAACTGGAAATTCGGAATGTACGATCGACAATTATAATTACGTATAGGTAAAATAGCGAAATTATCATCTCTACGAAACATTCAGTGACCTGCAGCGTCAATATCTGTTTATACGCGTTTTGCAGTACGGAACATACGTCGCAGAGCTTACTATGTATCTCCGTTAATATCACAATTACTTCACATCTCTGCCGACAATTACCCTTGAGATTGATTTGGTTCAAGCAGTAGCTTAGCTCGCGTATCCTAGAGGCGACGGAAAACTGTGAAGATAACATCCATGTGCAGGCGCAAACAAAAATCTCGTATATATCCAGGTAGGCCCAATTGTACAATGCGTGCAAAAGAACAAAAACGCCTCCGAAATAATATTTGATTTTAAAATCTTCCCGTTTATTATTAAATCGACAGACTTTCTCCATAAGCCTATCGACATCTTCCAATTCGTTCGAGATGACTTCGAGGTAGCGAGCTCTATGGAGCGATGTGAGGGATGCATAGATGAACAAGCCGGCCATACCCAGCGTCTTCAGGATCAAGACGAACTTCTCCCTTACCAGAGGTACGGACCTACTCAAAAATTTACTCCTGAACATGACGCTCATATGTTCAATGTTACACCAAATTATAGTGGAATTGGCTAAGATTGAAGAGATTGCAAACGGAATCGATATGGAAGTTCGTTTTCGGATCAATCGGAACGGGAAAGTTCCGATAAGTCCAGATATATAAAATATACGTCTGACTTCTTTAGGGAACTGGAATATGTTCTTATGAGCATCTATAGGTGCTGTTTTAACAACAAATGGCATCTTCATAGGGACTCTTAAAAGACCTGACTTAACAAAACACCCTTTGCATGTAACTTATTTATATAGACTGAGACCAAGCTTTATTGAGTTTAATCTAATTCATCTTAAAATGTAGGTTTCGCTTTATCTATGGAACGTCTGTTTTCGTCAATTACGATAATGGATTTAGGCGATTGTGAACTTTCAATCTGAATATAATCTCCACTACAAATAATACTGTTGTATAGATTGATTTTCTGGTTCTCCGGAGCGATATATTTTGTTAAATGAGACACCAAACTAATTCTCTAGGATACCTCACATGATGTAGATTTTTTAATCTGTTTATTTTACTCTCGTCGAACGATCTATGTTAAGCTATTTATCTATTCTTTTTATTGTTAACGAAGAAGCAGTCTTCGGTAGGAATAGGGGGCCAATTACCCTCCTCCCAATATTACGGAGAACAAAAATAAAAAATAAAATCATTAACAATTCATCTTATTATGGAAACACTCAACTATTATCCTTTTCCCAA